GACTTGACGATTATTAGATGTTAGCGGCAAGAGTCCACCAGTACACCAGGTGAACCAGGTACAGGAAGGCGGATCCTGAGACTGGCTTTCCAGTAACATCCTACTGTCAGGGAAGTTTTGTGAGAATCACTCTCACAGGTCTCAGAGGATCCCTTGAAGCTGGACAGGTAGCTAAGGTTGGGTGGAACAGAAGACTTCAAGGTCCTTGGCTAAAACCCCAGAGCAATCCTTCAAAAAAGAAGGAAAATAACAGAGGAGAAGAAGAGAAAAAGGAAAAATTAAAGTAGTAAAGGAAGAAACAAGTTTAAATTCAGTTTTTATTGTTTTCTTTAATAACATAATAAACGCCCAATGCAAAAAAAGTTGAGAAAATCAAGAAAGTTGACCCATAATCTGATAACTTGAAGGAAATTATTGGTAAATTCGTTCTGTATATACACACATATTTCTATGAAAATTACAACGATAATTTTAAAATAATGGTCACATATGTATAAACACACACAAATATATAAACATACATAAACACAAACTAGTTCACAGCACTAGTTCATTATGCACTTTTTCTCTTAATTTATGCTGAAAACTTTATGTCATAAATAGGTTAATTTCATCATCAACATCATTGTTATGCTAGGTAATGCTCTATTATAGGTATAACACATTTACACATTAAATTCCTCATTAATGAATTTTTCCCAATGTTTTGCTATTATAAACCATGTTTTTATTACCCTCATACACTACTGTAAACTTCTTGGAGTCTTTCCCAGAAGTAGAATGGTTGGGTAAAGGTATACAGTTTATAACAGGATCTTCACAAATTCTATTTAATTGTCCTCCAGAAATGTGGTTCCGATGAATACTAGCACACATAGGTGGGGCATCCATTCCCCCACATCCTTTAATTCTTCAGGTAACCAGGTAGTTCACACAAGATCTTTGGTTTTGGATACAAGTGATGTTGAACCACCTCTCACATCACCCACCATTTGGAGATGGATTTTCCTTGTGTGGATTTTAATTGGAGTGTTTCTTTTTTATTTTCTTGTTGATTTGTAAAAACTCTGTATCAGGGGCTGGGGATTTAGCTCAGCGGCATAGGCGCCTGCCTTGCAAGCAGGCAGTCGTGAGTTTGATCCCGGGTACCAATAAAAAGGAAAAAGACAAAAAAAAAAAAAAACTGTATCAAAAGTTCTTAGTTTTGCCATGTGCTACTATTGAATTGACACTTAAGATTGAAAATAAAAAGTAATCAGGCAAGAAATATTTTAATTAATAAAATTAAAAATAAAGAAAACATTACTTTGAAAGCAAAGAACAGGAAATTCAGATGATACAAAATAAAACCAGGAAAGAGAAAACTTAAAAAAAATAGGAATAAAAAAAATTTAAAAAGAAATAGAAATAACCAATAATAATAAAAGAGAAATTCTAGAATAATTCTAATTTATATACTAGAAACTGCCAATAAAATAATAGAAAATAAAACTTAGGGCCTGGGGATTTAGCTCAGCAGCATAAGTGCCTGCTTTGCAAGCAGGCAGTTGTGAGTTCGATTCCTGGTACCGATAAAAAGGAAAAAGACAAAAAAATAAAAAAATAAAAAAAAAATAAATAAAACTTAGAAATTATAGGGTACAACAGGAACGGTACTGAATCATCCAGGGACAGTATCTTGTATCCTTAATCAAGTTCATCATAGAAACCTGCAGAGTAGATCAAAATGAAAAATAATACCCAAATCTTTTGCAGTGCTCTATACACTTGTCCAGACCATTAGCAAATCCTCTGGGGGAGGCCAAATCCATTTAAAGCTACACTTAAGAAAAGCAGATAAAAAGGAAGGTAAGGAAAGAATTACAAAGCGCAGGATGAAGTCTTGATGGGAACTGGTTAATCTGTCATTCTAACCTTATTGTCTCTTCTTTTTGCCCACTAATTAGATCAAGAAGCTATTAGAATTGCAGACACTAATAAGTGACTCCTTTTGAAGAGATTATAACCAGCGAGATGACTTACTCCACCTACTCTCTGTTGCAGGCATGATGGAGCAAAGTAAACACAGAATTATAGGGGTCTCTGTCCTGCGAAAGAAGTTTTACTTAAGGACCATGATTGGTTTAAAATATGTGCCTAAGCTGCATGCACGTTCATTTAGTTTTCGAAAGCATAGTGTGAGATCAGTTTTGCTGTTTTCCGCATTTTAAGTATGGCAACACTAAGGTTCAGAAAACATAAGTCACTGGCCTTATCAGTGTGCTCCCTATAGTGCATTATGGAGCTAAAATCAGAAACAATTCTAGACCAGTGCTCTCCAATAAAAATATAATGCAACCACATATGTACTTTAAAATGTGAAAGAAGGGTGAGGCTCAGTGGTAGAGCAGTTACTTAGTATACACAGGTGCTTGCTTTGACCCCCCCAATTGCAAAAAAAATCTTACTTTATTAACTTTAATATAATTTATTTAACAGTATATCCAGACTATTATCATTTCAGTGTGCAACTAATATAATATTTTCATTCCTCTTTTCTGTGCTAAAATTTCCAAGTCCAATATGCTTTACACTAGCTGCGTGCCTCAACTTACAGGAAGTACATACTAAGTGCTGAAGTACATTTCAAGTACTTAAAAGCCAAGTGTGTCTCTGAGCCACTGCATTGGAGAAGCCAACTCCTTAGCAGTGGCTCTCAAAGTGCAGTACCCAGACCAGTGGCAGGAGCATCATTTCCTAGGGCCTTGTGAGAAGTACGCAACCTTGGGCCCTGCCCCAAACCGCTGAATCACAGGGTCTGAGGGTGTCACCCAGCAATCTGTTTCAACAGCTCCTCAGGCAGTAATGTAAAGTTTGAGAATCATTGCTTTAGAAAACAAATTCTCTATTCCAGTCCAAGTAAACCTAGGACAGCCAATGTCCTAACAGAGAGGAAAAGGATCCCTTTCTTTTGAGATGAACTCTTGTAGATAAAGGTCATATTCCTTTGTATTGGGGCTGGGTATTTAGCTCAGCAGCTTAAGCACCTTCCTGGCAAGGGTAAGGTCATGAGTTCAATCCCTGGTACCAAAAAAAAAAAAAAAAAAAAAAAAAGGCATATTCCTTTGTATCTAGGTATGGGTTCATTGCTTGGGACAAGGGAATGAATTAACACACAATTTAGTTTATCATTTTGTTTAAAAGAAAAAAAGCAATAATCATCTTTTTTTTTTTTTTTTTTTTTTTTTTTTTTTTTTTTGTCTTTTTCTTTTTTATCAGTACCAGGGATTGAACTCACGACTGCCTGGTTGCAAGGCAGGTGCTTATGCCGTTGAGCTAAATCCCCAGCCCCTACACTATCATCTTGAGTTAGTTCTCTTTCCCACATCCATAAAATGGAGATTGTTTAATGAATATTAGCAAGTTTTGAAAAAAATAGTGGTGTACAAAAATAAAAAGTTAGCAAAAGTGACTGATATTTTTAAATGTTAAAAAAAAAATAGTGGGCAGGAAAGTAATGCAGCTTTTTGAGCTGAGAAGCCAAGACTGAGCCACTTATATTTCTTAGAACATTAGACTTTTCGGGGGAAGGGGAGAGTTCTTGCCAAAATCATTTAAAAAAATGATTCTGAGCATGCCTTAAAGTTGAATTTCCAGTAAACAGGAATTACCTATGAAGAAAATCAGGAAGCCAAAGTGTTTCTTTTTACGAACTTACATCCTGCCATAGAAACGCTGGATAGGAAACAAAGACTGATGTCTCTCAACTGTATATGAAACTGGCAATTATTTCAAGGAAAATCTGAGCAAAAACTCAGACTTACTGAAGAAAGAGGAAGAGAGGACAGGCTAGAGTGCCATAAGAAACCAAAGACAACCGATGGCTACAATTAAACATGATTTGGAGGAAAAATGTACAAAGAAATCCCTACTCTGTGATTTTTGGGTTCCTTAAGCACTGCCTGCCCTTCTCATGTTTTGCAACACATTCTTCAGACTTCTGCTCCAAAAGAAATATAATATGTGTATCCAGGAAAGCAGGCTGATAAAACGACATCCGCTTCTTCTGCTGCTTGTTATTTGTTGTGCTTTTTCAGGGTTCTCTTTAGCTTTTCTAGGTTTCGGAGATGGGATTTCTATTTTGCTCCTCACTTAGTTTTAGTTTGGCCAGAAGACACGCTGCGATCACCATCCTAACACTTTATCTTCCAATCCTCAAATAGAAAAGCAAAGGGTGCTGCTCCTCTGTTCGAGGCAAATTCTCTCGGTTTGGGGGAAATGGCAGGTGCTCATCTCCAGTGGCTCCTGCAACTTTCCTCAAAGCAGAATTGCAGTCAATATCACCTTCCTTCTACAGCTCTATCCCATCGTTGCGCGACTCCTCACAGACCTTAAAGCACGCACACACCTCTTCCTTCACCTCGCATCCTCTCGCACACTGGCTGCACGCGCGCCAGGACGCCGGCTGCCACAGCAATGCTCAGCCCACTGGGCGGCCCCACCCAGGGCCGTCCCGCCCCCATCCTGGACACCAATGGCTACCATCCGTGCCTCCAAGGGGCCCTTTTGATAGGCAGCCAGACCTGCCACTCTCAGGCGCGCCCCGCCCCCTCCTCGCTCCCCGCCGGGGCTGGAGGGGCCGGAGCATCAGCGCGAGTAGCTGCGAGCAGCCGCGGCGGTGGCGCCTCGTTGCAGTTGCGCCATCTGTCAGGAGCGGAGCCGGCGGGGAGGGGGCTGCGGGAGAGGAGGAGGGGTCGCGGAGCCGGAGGCTGCCGAGACTCGCCCGCCGGCCGGCCGCGGGAGCAGAGGCGAGGCTGCGCTCAGAGCCCGCGTCCTCCGCCGTGCGGCGCGCGCCGCGGACTCCCGGGGCGCACACAAAGCAGCCGCCCGCGCCAGGGAGGCACCGGGCCGCCGGGCCGGGTACACCGGCGCCGCCCCCTCGGCTCCCGGGCCCCGCGGAGCAGCCGGAGCCGCCTGGCCGCGCCGGAGGAGGGCGCGGAGAGGACCATGCGCCTGGGCGCCGGAGCCGGGCGCCGCGCAGGTAAGCGTGGGGATGCGCCGCGAGGCCGCGGGATGCTGCGGAGGCCCGGGCCGCGACCCCGCCGTGCGCACCGCGCTGCAGTCCCCGGGTCGCCGCGCTCCGGGGAGCCCCGCGCTCGGGCTCTTCCCGCGGCCGGGACCCGAGACAGCTCCGCGGGGTGCGGCCCCGGGCGGCGCTGGGATGGAGGGGCCCATTTCCTCGGGAATTGGCTGGCGAGAGAGGCTGGCGCGGACTCGGCCCCCGCCCTCCTTTCGGGGCCCCCCGCGGGGACCCGGGCTGTGTGTGTTGTTTTAATGTCAGGGATGATGTAATCACTTAATAATTGATGCCCCGTGCTGCTTCCCTCCCCACCCAAACCCTGCCCCACTCCTCCACCTCTCGGCCTCCTCCCTTGGCGGCCCTCGCCTTCCCCACAGCATCCTCCTTCCTATTTCTGGCACCTCCCTTGCACTTCCCCCATCCTCCCCTTCACTCTTCCTGTGTCACCACCCACCCACCCTTCCCCTTTCCCCCCTGTCCCCCACCCGTTCTGCTCCTCGGGCTCCTTTCTCCTCCCTCCCCGCTCACTCGCTGGATTTCCTCTCTACTTCCCTAGATCGATGGCTGTTTTTGTTTGGTCTCCTCCCCTCTCTTATCTCTGCGGCCAGAGGCGAGGGGACTGGGCCAGAAAGAGGCCACTGAGCTTGGACCCATTGGGATTTACTGGGACTCACTGGGGAGAGGGATAATAAAATCACCCTTCTTGCCCCTCCTTCCTCTGATAAATCACAGAGGCTCGCCGAGTGTGTGTGTGTGTGTGTGTGTGTGTGTGTGTGTGTGTGTGAGACACAAAGAGCCCTTTCTGTGCATAGAGAGGAGACACAAAGTACCCAAGGATAGGCACGATGCTTCTTGTTTCTCTACCCTGGGGCTTTCCTTTCTTTCCAGTGAAGCAGCTGATCTCTCAGGGTCTTTCCTGCCACATTCACCAAATTAAAAAGAAAAAAGAAAGAAAGGCTCCCTAGATGCCGGGTGGGGTGGCAGGTGCCGGCATTTTGCTGTGTGCACAGACCAGCAGTGTTGACTGGCAGCTGCAGTGTTCTTAGATTTTTAAGGAAACATGATTCCAGCCGTCTTGAGAGTTGTTTTACTTTTAAGTGGCCTCCCCACGCTTCGTTTTCCTCGTCTTTGAGGAAGCAGTTACTGAAAGCTTGGGTGGGATACATTGGTGTAACATGAGAAGGATTTTGTTTCTGAATCAGAATTAAATTAGTGTTTGACAAGAGTGAGGCAGCCTGACTTGTTGTTTCTCTCATCTAAAGCAATAGCTTTCTGAAGTGCTTTGAAGCAGAATGGCTCTGCCCAAAATGCTGTTTGCCTTTTTATTGAAATAAGTATCCGGGAACATCAATAAAACGGCATGGAGTTGTCATTTGGAAGACCACTGGAGTTTGTGCCCTGCCCACCTCACTGTAACCTTTAGATGCCCACATCCTTTCTGTCACCAAGGGAGCAATGGCACCCTTTGAGCAGTCTTTCTCCCCAGTACCTGCCCCATGGGAACAGTGCTTTCAAGAGGAAGGGACTCAGACTTTCAGAGGAAGTGGTTTAACTATCAGAGTCTTTGGGGCACTTAGGTGTGAACAGGAGATATAGAACTCTGAACCATCAGATTATTTTCTCTTAAAGTGGAAATGTTCATGCAAATCTGGGGCTTCATGTTTGATTTTGTAAGCTGGTGGCACGTGCCTAATGGACAGGATCAAAATGAGGTTGACTCTTACTGATCCCTAAAAGCACAACTCAACTTTCAGTTACCCTACTGGCTCAAGTTTGTTCTTCAAGAAGTTTGGTAGAAACTAGTTGTCATGGTTCATTACATATTTACTTCTGCACTTTCTAAGGATGTTCATCTGGAAACTTTTAAATTAAAAAGGTAGAGTTAGTGAGAGTGCTGTAAGAACAAAGGCTTGTTTGAAACCAGACTGAGCAAGGAAAGTCAGTTTACAATAAATTCATACTGTGTTGACCAAGTTTAAGAAACTTAATGATAAGGTTGAATGTGAACAAATGCACACCCTGCCTTCCTTTGGATCTTGGAACCCCATCTGACTTGATTGAAGTTTTACTTAACTTTTGGGGCCCAGCACAAATGCCAAATCCTCTGTGGAAGCTTCTCCCATCTTCTGCCCGCAAAGCACAGCATCATACCTCCAGTTTGGTTTTTAGACTTCTGTTTCTACATTTTTACCATTAATTGGTCTTCATAGTGAGAAAAGGAATCTGATCGTATTTGTCTCATTTCCTACCAGGTTTTTGCCTTACAAGGGACTCAGGGGTTTCATTTAAAGATGCGTACATGTGAGTTAGCTCAACACCTCTTCTAATTAGCCTGTTAGTAGTCATTAAAAAAAGCCCACAAACAAATAATGGCTCAAATGCAATAGGTGTTTAAACTTGCTTATTTAATAGCTTCTGGTCAGAGGTGGTTTTCCGACATGCAGTGATTCTGGATCCCACATCCCTGTCTTGCAACTTCCCAATTCCCTACCTTTCCATTGTATCCTATTTCAGCTGACAGATGGGGCAAAAGAAAGAGTAGGGGTCCAAGCATTTTTGAAATGCCTTGGCCTGGAACTGACAGCTATCACACCTACTCACGGTCCTTTGGTGAGGCCAAGTCATATGACCACATTTAATTACACGGAAGCCTGAGAAATGTAGGTTAATCGTAGGCCTGGGAGGGTAGGGAAGGGTCAATGTTTTGGTGTGTATGGTGAACAGCTTTGCCAACCAATGCCACTTAGCAGGGCATGTCCCCTAAGCTCAAGAAGTGTGTAGGCTACGGAAATTAAATGGAAACTTAGAGCAAACACTCACCATTGCTTTAGTTCTTCTGAATTTATATGCTCAAATATTTTCATCTTAAGCACGTTAAAAAAACCAAACCTGCATTTTTTGTCATGTCTCAAGGGGCCACTTTTCACCCAGTAATCTGATGGTCATCTGATACTTCCTGTGTTGAGTTTGATGTGGTTCTTTCCCTCCAGAAGCACTTTTGCGGACCTAGTTTTTTTTTTTTTTTTTTTAAATCTGGGGATTCCATAGACTCCAAAAGTGGCTAGCAGGGTCCTTAGGAGTCACAGTACTACTGTCTCTTTAAGCAGAGTAGGAGAGGCAAAACTTCTCATCCCAAGGGCATGCAGCTTCCTAATGGGAAGGCCTGCAGCCTTACCCAGCTCCTCCATAGCAGCTGTCTGATACTGTCTTTGAATTCGGTGTATTCTGTAAAGGTTACGTGAGCTTCTCCCCCTCCCAGAGCAAGGAAAACTGTTAATGTTCTGCGTGGCCTCTGTTTTCCACATGCCTCCAAATTGTTGGAGCAATTCTGCCCCTATCAGCCATCATAATTAATAATGCATTTTTTGCTATGAATACTTCATTATATTCATCTGTTCAACAAATAATCAGCCTAGGTTTTTTTTTTTGGTCTTTTTCATTGTTATCAGTACCGGGGATTGAACTCACGACCACCTGCTTGCAAAGCAGGTACTTATGCCGCTGAGCTAAATCCCCAGCTCCCATAGTTTGTTATTTTATACAAGTATTGGATAGATGGGTGATGGGAATGAGTAATTCTGCTTTTTAGGAACTTATACTCTAGCTAGAGGAGATTAAAATAATAAATAATAGCTAACAGTTATTGAACATTTGCACGTGCTGTTGTCTGTTTAAACTCTAATCTTAACAATAAGGGTATAAAGGAGTTTCACTCATTAGTCAGATGGGAAATTGAATCAATTTTTAGTAACTTATTAAGTAACTAACCCAAGATCATATAGCACTAAATGGTAGAGGCACAATCAGGCCCAGTTAGTCTGTCTGCTGAGCCCTAGTCTTAAGCCACTCTACAATATTTGCAATACTATGTAAGGATGGAATGATGATATTAATGGTACGTGTTATAAGGAGAGAATGACGGCAACATTTTGGAAATTGAATCTCCTAGTGGTTGAGAAAGAAAACTTTGTGCACCAAGATAATTTAATATGCAGACCCTATGACTCTTCTGGGGTATAAAAACATAAAATAAAAACTGAAAACAAGAAAACAAAGCATGTTGATATTGGAAGCAGTTTTACCATTTGATTCTTTAAACTGGATCTTTCTGTAGTCCACTGATAGGTCTATATGAGTTGGTGAATTATCTACCTATTTATTCATTCATTGTATTTACCATTTGTCAGGCATTAAGGTAGATGTTTGGGAGCAAAAGGAGAGAATGATCTTGTCCCAAAGAACTTACCTGCTAGCTCAGCAGGGAAATGAAGAAGTGTCTGACTGTTGTAAATGCTGTGATTCTGGGGCTCCACATGGGTACAACAGAACATGCAGAAGGGAGCATGAACTCAGCAAAGAGGTGGAAAAGTGGGACAGCAGGCCTCAGAGAGGGCTGGAGGAGGAGGAGGAGGAGGAGGAGGAGGAGGAGGAGGTGTCTGAGAGTACAGTTGGTTAGCTGAGTGTTATGGGAAGGCCCCTGGCCTGGAAAGAGCAGCCCAGAGGGTGAACACACACACCACTGGGGATGCTGTAACTAGTTCAGGGCCACATAGGGCGACAGAAGAGAAATGGACAAAAGGGGGAAGTCAGATTAGAGGAGACACTGAGGAGATTCTTGTAGGTACTTTGTCCTAACTGCTGTTGAAGATGTGTAAGTGGAGATGCAGCTTTGACCTGATTGGTGTTTTATAAAGCTCACCTGGCCACAGTGTGGGCTTTGGGCCAGAAATAGGCAAGCTAGTTACTAAATGCAGGCCAGGTAGCTACTGGATGCAGAGCAGGTAGTTACTGGAAACTCGGATGAGCGATAGATGAGGATCTGAGTGGAAGTGGGATAAAGTGAGAAAGAGAGCGGGCAGATTGGAGGTGGACGGAGGGATGTTTGGGAAACAAGGTGGAGAGAAACAGGAGGCTAGCAGTGCAGTCAGACCTGCAGGGCGGGGATGTGCAGAGGCATGCAT